CTGAAGTCAAGCAGGGAGGTGATTTGCCCACAGTCATTCAACCCGCATAGGCTAGAGCTTGAATTGAAGCCTAGTTTCATCTGGTTTAATGGCCCGTATGCTTCCTCCGCAGTCTGCTGCCTTCTACATACTTAGGGGCGGGTAGTCAAGAAGATGGTGACTGGTGGGAATGCTCAGTTGCTATGCTTGTGTTGTCTCTAAGAGTCTCAGCCCAAGAAAAATAAGCCCCGCCAAGGTTACTGCATACTCCAGTCTTCCTGTTGGAGAAAATTCATACTTGGACCCCTAATAAATGAGAGGTGAAGGGAAGCTATTTGTATTGAAACCAGGGAAAGGGAGGCCTGAGAGTCTGTTACTCTCGGGCCCTGTCACCAGACCTGTAGCATCTGGCACCGGGCTTGGAGACACACTGGTTTCGCCTTATGTTCAGGTGAAAAATGGCTCGAGAGGGCAGACTTATCAAGGCCACAGGCGGTGGACCAGGACTAGAAACCAAGTCTCCTAACCTGTAATAGAAAGTTTACTACATAAGGCTTATTAAAGAAAAAGATCACCTGTTTGATAACCTGACCTAATGAAGAGCAATTCTCTGTTAAGCAGTTGCTTTCCAGCAGTGTGTGCATCATGAGCACCATCTTTCAGTGCCCTCACACCCTGCCAAAAGGACTCAAGCCATCCTGGCCCTGCATGCCAGATCCCCTTCAATCCCCAGGTAGAGATCCATTCTCAAACTGCCTCCTCCCAAGAAGAGCAGCAACGTCCTGAAAGTCGTATCAAATAAATGCTTAGAACAATTGAAGGAATTATCCTTGCCAAACCAGATAAAAATAAGGTTGAATCAAGAAAAGGGACAGGAATAGGGGAAGGAGGAACCCTGAGGGTGCTGGTTGACTCCCAGGTTCAGCAGAGAAGAATGGCTCTGTGACAGTGGGGTGATCACCCTTCCTCAACGGTGGTTCCTTTTTAGAGCCTCTAATGAAAACTTTAGGCTCCCACCCTGAGAAAAGTTGACGTGTGCAAACACTATTGATGAACAAGACTCATTGTTCGCCATCGCCCCGCTGAAACTTGATGGTCCGCAGTTGAACCACAGTCCTAAAAAAGGATGGCACGAATCAAACCCATGTTGGATGCTGGGGTTTAAGTCGGACAGACAAAGGTTCTTGAACTTTAATGTTCGTTAGGCAGTTCCCCCAGAGATTCAGATCCAGCAAACGTGTCTGGATGAGATTCAGGAATCTGCATTTTCCTTTTTTTTTTTTTTAAGAGGGAGAGAAAGAATCCCAAGCAGGCTCCACACCCAGCACAGAGCCTGACTTGAGGTTCAATCCCACTACCCTGAGATCATGACCTAAGCAGAAATCAGGAGTTAGATGCTTACCTGACTGAGCCACCCAGGTGCCCCCAGGAATCTGTACCAGTTCTGGGGCACCTGGCTGGTTCAGTTAGTAGAGCATGTGACTCTTGATCTTGGCGTTGTGAGTTCAAGCCCCACGTTGGGTGTAGAGATTACTTAAAAATAAAATCTTTAAAAATAAGGGTGTCTGAGTGACTTCACCGGTTAAGCATCCTACTCTAGATTTGGAGTCAGGTCATGATCTCAGGGTCGTGAAATTAAGCCCCGTGGCAGGCTCCAGGCTAAGATTCTCTCTCTGCCTCTCCCGCCCCCCACCCCTGGATAAACAAACAAACACCAATTCTGACGCAGGTGACTTGCTGACCCCTCTAAAAAGAGCCTTGCTTATCCTATTTTTAGTTGGATATAGAAGCTACATAAGCAGAAGAAAAACCAAGGGAACACAACAGTGGTCCACTAGAGCCCAATATGCTCTTGACAAGAGGAGGCCCGAGGAAGGGCATGTGGAGCAGTTGGACACATTCATGGGGCTGCAAGCGGATGCTCTCAGATGTGCCGTCTGTGCTTGTCACAGGATGGTCTGGGTGACAAGGAATTCAGGTCTGTATGGTTCTGACCGCACCACCGGAGGGGGCTGGACAAATGACCTTCCTCTATACCAGCATCCCACTTTCCCATCCCTACTGACCTGTCTTGAGAATTGGGGAGGTGCTTTTTTTCTTTCAGTCTTGCCAAAACGTTGCAGCGCTAATACTTCTTATCTAAGTGATCCAAACCCTCTTCCGTTCTTTTACTTTCTCCTGTCTCCCCCATCCCTTCCTGTTGAATTTGCAGAATCCCAGCACCTGTGTGCCAAGCATACATCAGAGGGATGTAACAGTGACAAGGAGACACAATGCCAGTGAGAAAACCCAGTTGTCGACACCATTTCTGATTTTCAGTGGTGAGGTCTCGGGGATCAGCCCATGGCCTGGCCTCTAAGCCATTGTTCTTGTCAAATGACCTAGTCAAGCTGGGCACAAAAATTTGAGTGAGTGAGAGTTAATGTCACTCTGAAAAAGAGTGTACAACTTCAAAGTCAACTGTTTTTCAAGGGTCTTGTTAGTCCTCTGAGGATGGAAGTGGGGAAGACTCACTGGCTTCCTGGATTTCTCATAGTTCTCATTTATTGAAGACAGTGTTGCTAGAGATCTGTCCTAAGCACTTACCTCGTCATCTCATTTAATTCTTGCAACCCCATAGGGTTGGCATTGCCCACGTTACAGATGAGGACATTGAAGGTCAGATATCAAAAATCACACAAGCTATAAAATGGCAGAACTGAGATGTGAATTCAGGAATTGGAATTCATCCTAAATTCTGAGACCTGGTTCTGATGGGTGAAAACACGGCTCGGGCCTCACTTCTGAACATTTGTTCTGTGTGAACAGAAGCAAAGCCATCCCCCACCCCCCGTCGTCCACAGCGCACACATACCCACCATCCTTACCGGAACAGAGAGGAGACCACAGGAGAGCAGAAAGCATTTCTCTCTGTACATTTTTTACTTTTTTATTTTTTGATGTTGTTCAGATGAATGACACACTCAAGTTACAAAAACGGGGCCTTAAAAGAAGCACATTGTACAATGAACAAGCAGATTGGAGTTAAGAACACTGAAACGCTAACCCGCTACCACGAGGAGACAGGGAGGGGGTACAGGATGGGTGGGGGGGGCTACCAACACAGGGGTCAGACGGAACTGAAAGTGGGGCTAACTTGCTGAGAACGGACAAAAGGCAGGTCTCCTCCAGGCCTATTCAATTTCCAGACACCACTTCATGGTCTCCCTTGCCCGCTCCTCGCCACTACCTCCCCTCCCCATTCCAACCTGGTCATCTGAATGAGTGGGTGGGAGACACCCACCCCAGAAAGGGCTGAGCCACTCAGATCTTTACAAGGCGGGTGGTCATCTTGCTCTAGTGCAGGCTTGGATTTGGGAGGGGACGGTGGCTGCAGTGGGATAGGAAGCCAGAAAGGAGCTAGCGGAGAGGAGTTGATCCGAGATCAGGTCCCTGCTTTTCCCCCAGACTCCTTGCCCCTTCCCCACCCTACCATGATCCAAAGGTCCTCTCTACAAGTGCAGAGAGGCCCCCAGTCACCCTGCAGTCATGTAAATAAATAAATACTGAGCCCCTGGGCTTGGAGGACGGGCTGGGGGAGGGGCAGCAGGGATAGAGGAGAGGAAGGGGAGGAAGAAGGGAGGGGTCACAGACATAGTAAATAGTTGTCTCCGTCCCAGCAACACTTCTCTCTAGATTTTTCTCTCCTTTTTGTGTTTGTTTAACAAGGAGCTAACATTTCAAGGACAAATACTTAAAAATATACATTATTTTTTTCTTCTTTTTCGCCTTTGTCATCGTCATCTTGCTTTGGAGACTGCTGAGGTCAAAGTTCAAACCGCATGAAGGAACTGCGGCTTGGAGTTTTTGTGTATTTTTTTTAATTTTTATTTTTTAATTTTTTTCACTTTTTTTTCCAACGTATAAAAAGGTAGCGGAGTTGTCTGTGGGTTTTTTTTTTTTTTTTAATGGTTAAATCTTTGGTTTGTTTCTTTTTTCTCTTGGAGGCCTTTATCTCTCGCACTTGCCTTTCCCACTCGGAGGCCAGTGGGGGCCCGCGTGTCTCAATCTTGCTCAGTCGGTCTCACTCTCTCTCTCACTCAGTTCCCCCTACCCTGGGCTAAAAGGGAGAGAGAGGCACCCTGGGATTTGAGTGGGCAAGGAAATTAGTCAGGTCATCACCTACGTACAAGGCTAATCCCTTAGCCTGTCTGCCCAGGGTGCGGGGCTAGGAGACCCTCTCTTGGCCTTCTCCAGGGAGGAGATGTGCGGGGGAAACTCATATCTTTCCCTCCCCTCCTGATCTTAGCCCCAACTCCTACAGGGCTTGGGTTCCCCATCTCCACCCACCCCCACTTATACCCCCAGCCCCTCCCTCCCACGTCCAGCCCCCACCCTCCCAGAAGAGAACAGAGAGGGGTTTTTGTTACTTGCCTTTTTTTTTTTTTTTTTTTTTTTTTTGGCACAAAAGGCCCACCATTAGGGTAGACCCATTCTCTGTCCCTCCCTCGAGTAGGAGGTCAGGGTTGGGGAGAAGAGAAATTCAGAAGGCTCCCCCTTCCTCCAGTCCACTCATCTTCCTCTCTTTCTAGCCCAGGCCGCTGGCCCCCCCACCTCAGACATCTCACCTAGCCCAGAGCCTAGCTTGGGGTCTCCCTCCCCATCTCCCACATCAAGTCCCCCAGCCCCCCAACTCTCTCGCTCACACACAGACACACGGACACAGGCTCTGTACAGACCACAAAATAAAAACGATGAGATAGTTTTGTTTCCCGGAGTCGAGACAGAGGGTACTGGAGTGGAAGGGGCAGAGCGGGGTGGGGGGCATGAATTCCCCCATCACCTTCCCAACCCTGGCTCCCTCCAGCCCCCCAGCCCCTTGCCCTGGCTGGCCCCCAGCCAACGATATTTGGTTTCCTTTTTTTTAACATTAAAGTTCTATGAGGTATTTGGTGCCTTATCTCGAGTCCTCGGGGAGGGGGGCCCAGGGGGGAGACCTGGGGCACACTTGCCCCTCCCTCCCTCCCACCCCCTTCCAAATATTTGGTTTCACAGCTGTAGTTAAAGCTTGGGATTTGGTTATTTTTCCCCTCCCAGGAATTTTCTTTCTTTTTTTTGTTTTTCTTTTCCCAGTTATGGGGGTTGGATGGGGAGAGTCCCCCCACCCCCGGCTGCACGGGGGTCCCTCCACCAATGTCAGGGCATCGGCCCCATCCCTGCCCCTGCTTCCTCCTCTCCTCTCTGCCCCACTCCCCCCACACAGGGGTGCGGGGTGCGGGGTGCGGGAGAGGTCCCCAGTGGCAGGACTTGATGGGGAGGAAGCAGGATGAAGTGGGTGGTGGTGAGTCCTGGATTTTCTTTCCTTTTTTTTTCTTTTTTTTTCTTTTTTGTTTTTTTTTTTGTTTTGTTTTTTGGTCTAGAATCATAGTTTCTGAGTCATCTCCACCATGCCTTCCATGCTGCCTGTCTTCTCGGAGGGGTATTTGGTCGTAATTCCTTTCACTTTGCTCTGCTCAAATGTCTTTCCTATCTGTTCAGGAGCCCTTGGCCCCCTCTCCACCCTTGGGCAGGGGCCCAGGCCCTCTCGCCAGTCCCTTCTCTTCAGGAAATAAAAATGGACAAACTCAGAGGTAGGGTAAGGGCAGGGAGTCGGTTCAGCGGAGATGCTTACATTCTGGCGAGGATGGGTCGACGGCATGCCAGGCCCCATCAGTGCCAGGGCGGGAGGGGCGGCCACTCCACGGCTGCCCAGACAAGGCACCCCGAGACCCCCAAAACAGCCAAGTCTCTGCTGTCTCCGTGGCCCAGCCCAACAGTTTCATTTCCCGGGTGGGAGAAGGGAGACAAGAAAGAAAGAAAGAACTCTGAGGCCTGGGGAGGTGGGGGCCCAGCGCGGGGGCCGCCTCTCCTCGGAGCGGCCAGCAGCGCGGCTGGCTTGGGGCTCCGGGCTCCGGGCTCCCGGCTGCTCTGCCCAGCGGGGGCCAGGCCTCTGATTTCAATGGCTCGAGTCCTTCACAGCAACACTTTGGTTTGAGGAGAGACACAGAAAGACGGGAGACTGGGAGGCGCGAGAGAGAAGAGCGAAGGAAGAGGGAGAGGGAGGAGCAGAGAACAGACTGAAGAGAACAGAAAAAGAAATCAAAGGAGGAATCAAACCACCCGAAAGTTTGTTCGTTTTCCTTCGTCCATTCTTTTTGCTTTCTTATTCCTTGTTTCCTGTTTCGTTTTTTTTTTTTTTTAAAGCTTTTTCAATGGATTGGGGGGCAGGGAGCTTGGGGCTCTCCACCCCTGCCCCTGCCCCCCCTCTCTCCGCCCTGCCCACCCGCTTCCATCCGCCCTGGCTGAGGGACAGGCCCTGCCCCAGCCTCCCCCTCCGGCTTTCCCGAAGACGACGTCCATGAGGTATTTGTGAAGAGAAAGAAGCGTCTGTCCTTCCATCCGCCTTGGGGACCAAGGGCCTGGACCACTGGCGCAGGGGCTTGGCTCCACCTCGCGGCTCCTTCTTATTCTTGAAGAGTCCTTGTCTTCTTTCCCTTAAATATATATATATATCTATAAATTCTTTTTTTTTCTAGTTTTAATTTATTGTTTGTTTGGTTTTTTTGTTTTTTGTGTTTTGTTCTGTTGGGTTTTTTTTTTGTTTTTTGTTTTTTTTTTGGTTCAAAACTTTGTTGGCCTCCACAATAGCAGGAGGGCAAAGTGGCTCCCAGCGGCGTCTCTCCTCTGTCCATGGAGACGGGTCCAGGGCTGGGCAAACATGGGGTCCAGCCAAGACTCGAGGGAGGTCTCGTGGGGGTGGTGGCCGCCACAGTGCCCTCTCAGATGGGGACCACAGGTCATGGCACTGTCCCCGCCACATGGACCCTGATGGGGATGCCACCTTGAGGAACCCCACCACTGGGGTGCGTGCGTGTGTACATGTGTGTCGGGTGGGGGGAGGAAGAGGCATCTGCCAGTATCAGAGGGACACAGGGCGGGAAGAGCGAGGTGAGTTCTCTTTTTGGTTTCTGGTCAATGTCAAAGAACGTGAAGGATCCCACGGATAGGCACTGGAATATGAATTTTTTTTTTCAGGGAAACTGACAGACGAGGATGGGAAAAAAGACAACTTGAATGCCTTCACCTCATCCCTCTTGCCCGAAACTTCCACCTTCCCCTGGGCCAGGGAGGGGGTGGATTCCAGAGCAGAGGAGGGTGACAGGGTTGGGGGGGGGGGAACATGTGAGAGCTAGAACTTCACAAACCGGCCTAGCCCACCCTTCAAAGGGAAAAGGGGGAGGTACGAGGGGTGAAAAGTCATCCCAGGCCTGCCCCTGCACTCTCCCCTGGCTGGGGGAGGGAGGAGGTTAAAGCGAGACCCCTTGCCCAGGTGGGGAGAGCCGGGGCCCAAGGGAGAGGGGGACACATGGTAGGGACACATTCTGTTGAGCGTAACGCTAAAAATTCTGTACATCCTTTGGATGAAGCTACTGAATATTTGGTGTAAGGTTGTTCACGCCCCTTCTCTTTCACCTTCTGGAAAAGAACATTTGGCGGGTGGTTCTGAGCCCACCCCGTCGGCCCCAGCCTGTGCCCTGTCTTCGCTGGCCCAGGGCTGGGGGCTGGGGCTGGAGGCTGGCACATTCTCTTTTGCCTTCTCTGGCCCCCACTGGAGGAGGCAAGGTTGGGGGTTGGCCCCCCAGCCAGAGGCTCGGCGAGAGGTCCGCCCTGCCGAGGCTTCTCTGCCCCTGGCTGGGGTTCTTATTTGGTGTCGTAGCAGTGAGGGTGAGCACACTGAGGTCTGGCTCGCAACTGGTTTTTGGTTTGGTTTTGCGGGGTATTTTTTTTGTTTTTGGTTTTGGTTTTTGTTTGTTTTTCACCTCTGGTTCCTTTGGGGCAGCTGGTTTCTGTTGTGATTATTTTTGGTTTCTTTTTGTTGGTTTCTTTCATTTTCTTTCTTTCTTTCTTTCTTTCTTTCTTTCTTTCTTTCTTTCTTGTTTTTTTGTTTTGTTTTGTTTTGTTTTTTTGGTTAGTTGGGGTTTTTTTTTTTGGTCTTTCCTCCCTTGTCACTCCAGCTCCAAGGACCCTCTGCACCACCACTGCTGGCCTCCTCGCCCTCTTCCCAGGCGGGGGGGGACTGAGGTGGGGGTCGGAGGAGTAGGAGGGGAGGCAAGGCGGGCCCTCACTCGGGCTTGCACCCTGCCTCGGGCCCCCCGGGGCCTCCAGGGGTCTGTGCTGTGGCCTCGCTGCAAGTGGAGGACGAGGAGGAGGAGGAGGAAGAGGAGGAGGAGGAGGAGGAGGAGAGGCCCGGAGACTTGCTGGAGATGGAGGCCGCCACGGCCGCAGCGGCTGCCGAGACCAGGCCCACGCCCGGCGGGGCGCTGAGCAGGGGCAGCCCGGCGTGGTTCAAGAAGAGCGGTGAGGTCACCAGGCCGGGGCTCCCCGGAGCCGCGCTGGCCGCCCCCAGCACCAGGTTCCCGCTGCCGTCAAGGCTGGTAAGGGGCAGGGTTCCACCAGAGGCCAGGGCTGGTGGGGAGAGAGAGAGGGGCTGGGCTGGGGGCACCTTCCAGCATCCTGCCCGCAGTGCCCCCTGTCTTCCCATCGGCCCCACTGACCCCCATCAGCAGCCCTCACACCTTCCCCAAAGGAGAAATGGGTATGAAGAGGCGAGCGATGCAGTGAGCGGGGCAGGATGGCATGGCTGGAGCAGCAATGGGGGGAGGCTCGAGGCCCCAGGGGGCCAGGCTGGTGGCGATGGGAGTGACATGAGGCAGCACGCACCTTGGATAGTGGCCAAAGGGTTGTTGCTCATGAGGGCTGGACTCAGCCCGGAGCTCAACCCCACCATTGTGCTTCTGCAAGAGGCAAAGCAGAGGCGTTAGCAGGGGCAGGGACCCGCCGGCGGCAGAACTGGGGCGCGGCTCCCACCCGGGAAGCAGCGGCGACCCTGCTTCTCTCCCCACAGCCTCCCTAAGTGCAACTGTCCACTTACCCCGTGCTGGGGTTCAGGCCCGACAAGCCGATAGCCGAGTGGCTGCCTTGAGGGCTGGGATTTGTGCTGTTGGTGGTGGCCGGGGGTGGGGGAGTAACAGAGGGGATGGAATTGAGGGGGGGCGCGGCTCCGCCCCCGCCCCCACCCCCTCCGGCTGTCCGGCTGGGGTGGAGCGTCCCCACAGCTGAGGATAAGGTAGTAACTGCCAGAGAGAGACAGAGAGACGGAGACTTCAGCTTCCACTCGTCCTCCACCGGGGAACCCGGGGTCCACCCCTGCTCGCCTTCCCGCCCGGCGCGCACCCTGTGGCATCTCCTCCGGGGGAACAGACTCAGGCCTCCCACCGGCTCTTCTCACGGCCGCCGTGACGGCGATCACAATAATGGCAGCGTGCGCAGCTGCCACCCCCGGAGCCGAGCCCCGTGCCGGGGTGCGCTCACACGGCGCGAACCCGGCCCTGAGCCTCGGCGCCGGGCGCCTCTAAGACTTCGCCCTGTGGCTCCCTCTAGGGGCCAGGCAGGGGGCTGCGGCTGTGCGCACCGAGGTGGAGAGGACTCAGCGGCCGGACGGCCAGACAGCCACGGGCCGCAAATTCCTGCCTGTTCCGCCCCATCTGTGCCCTTGGGAGAGCACCTTCACCTCTCTGGCCTTCAGTTGCCTAATCTGGAAAATGGGGATAATAACAGGGCCTACTTTATAAAATGAGTGTGAGGATGAGATGAGTCGATATTCTTCAGAAAGAGTTTAGACAGTGCCAGGCACACACTTATAACTTTATAAGCTTCCACTTCTTATCTCTTAATCTGAGAAAAATCAATATCATGTTTGTTTTCTATTCTTTTTTTTTTTTTTTTTTTTAGTTTATTTATTTCAGTAATCTCTACACCCAATGTAGGGCTCGAACTCACAACCCCAAGATCAGGAGCCACATACTCCACTGACCGAGCCAGCCAGGCTCCAGTTTTCTATTATTCTTATATGTGGTGATACACAGGCCCTGTCCCAGGAAGGGAGCAAGGGGACCTTTGGGCACAAAAGAGCATGTATGTGTGTGTGTGTCGGGGGGGGTTACACAGACATACACACTCTTGTATGTATATGTTCATGTATATAGCTTTTGTATGTATTATACATTCACAATAATTTTATAAAACCTGAGGCTCAGAGAGGTGAAGTCACTCCTGGAGCTCACACAGTTTATAAAAGCCAGGACCAGAACCCGAGTACATCAACTTTTAGCAAAAAGCCTGTGCTTTTCTCATAGGAAATCGTAGAGCAGATGAGAGCCGAGCTGCTCCGGCAGGGACAGGTGAGGCTGCCCTCTCCTCTCTGTGCCCCCTGCCTCCCTCATCCCCAGGCTCAGCCTTGAGGCCCACAGATGCCCTAAGCCACTAGAGAACCTCAGGCCTGTACTGGGCCTCCCAAAGCCCCCTCACGGGCTCCTGCCCGCCCTGACCTGTTGTGCTCAGACTGCTGGAAGCTTGGGACAATGGCAAGGTCCCGGCGCCCCCTTGGGGTGTGACCTGGGGAGAGAGGAAAGAAGGCATGGTGAGGCCACTGTTTCCCAGTAGCCCCCATGATGCTCCCTGTGGGTAAGACCCCCATTCATCTGCCCTCAGGCTGAGGGGAGAAGGGACTTTGGGCACAATGCTATGCTTGTATTATGCTAGGTTCTTTCCATCGTATCTACGTTAACATTTACCCAAAGTGATCCTGAACCATAGGTGGGAAAAAGTAATGCCTAATTGAGTGTTCTCCCACCTCTCTGACACCATCCAGTTGCAGGGCTAAAGTGTGTGTGTGGAGGGGGGAGTATTATGATGATAAGGGGCGTCTCTGCATCAGAGTGTTGGGATGTCCTATTGCTTGATTTTCTGGGACCACCCACCAGCCTCCTTCTTGGCCTCCCTGCCTCCATCAGCTCCAATAGCCTCACTCTTAATGTGACCCTGTCCCTCCCCAGCTCAAAACTCCTCCTTAGCTCCTCACTGCCCGTGGTTCACGTTCAAGCTCCTCAGCATGTTACTTGAGAGTCTGGCCCCTGCCCAGCCCCTACCCCCATACTCATTCATATACATTCCTGCTCCAACCACATTTAAATTGCCCTGGAGTTCATCCGATTGGGCTCAGCACACTCCGGCTTCTAGGCCTTTGGGCACGGCAGTCTTTAAGTGGCTGGCTACCTGTCCCTTGTCCTTTAGAACTCAGCTCAGGTAGTCTCTTCTTCCTCCATACCAGGGGCCTCGGGGGCTCCTCTCTGTCACGTCACAGCCCCTTTCCACATGAGATGCAATAAAGGGGTGTCCCAGTGCGTCTGATCCCAAGCAGGTCTGCATGCAGCTGTGAACCTGAATGTACACCCAGGGACATAACGCTGTCCCTGCCTGTGTCTGTGTGTGTGGCTGTGAACCCGTGTGTGTGTGTATGGGGGGGGTACCTCCATCTCCTACCTGGGATCTCTCTTCATGTGGCCATGCACTGTGAGAACTATTTTTGGCTCTGTTGGTATGTGTCTGTGGATGCTTGTATCCCCCACATAAGACCACAGTTCCCTGGAAATTGTGTCCCCGTGTGACTGTGCTCCAACCTTGTGACAGCCTGTCCCCAAGGGTGAGTCTCCCTGCCCCTGTGCCGGGCACTGTGGACAACCAAGTAGACTGTGCTTCACAGAGGCACCTGCATAGGGGTGGGCTGTTGCCAGAGCTTTATGCCCCCCACCCCCAGAGGGGCTCCTGGTACCAGATGGGGGCTGTAGCTGGCTGGCTTCCCCGGGCTGGGCAACATGGGGGCTGCGCTGCAGGGGTTGATGCGTTTTTCCTTCTGGCGCCGGTTGCAGAACCAGACGCGGATCACTTCCTTCTCCATGTGCAGCTGCTCTGCAATCAGCAGGATCTCCTCTGAGGTAGGCTTCTGGTTCTGCGGGCAGAGGGCTGGTGAACCCCAGTTCCACCCCGCCCCCCCACCTCAGAACCTCCCAGAAGGCCGCGGCCTCACCGCTAGAAAACTCTTCTCTAAGGCGAAGCGGACGTTTGTCTCGATGCTGGTCCTCTTCTTGCGTCTCCGGCCAGGGAGCCCGTCGAAGCCCAGGCTGGGGCTGCTCAGCTGGTTGGGGCTGGGCAGGCTTGAGTCCACAGACATAGTCTCTGTGCCCGGGAGGAGACGGGGGCATGAGAGGGAGCCTCCGGGGCCCACCACCGGCCGCCCGCCCTGGGAGCCCCGGCCCAGTCCCACCTGCGTCGTTGAGCCACTTCTCCAGGAGGGGCTTGAGTTTGCACATGTTCTTGAAGCTCAGGTTGAGGGCCTCGAAACGGGAGATGGTCGTCTGGCTAAAGTCGTTGCCGTAGAGCTTGCCCATGGCCAGGCCCACATCACCCTGGCCGAGTGGGGTGGGGAATGGGGCGGCCGTCAGGGCGCAGGTCTCACCCTGGTCCACCGGCTGGCCACACCCCTGGCCCCGCCCACCGGCCGGCTGCGGTCTCTCGCCACCCCCCCCACCACTTGGCCACGCTCACTGCCCGGTGCTGGGGAGAGGGAGCCCGCGCCCCGCCCACCACCTGGCCAAGCCGCGTCACCCTCAGGCCCACCGCCCGTGCTGCCGGGTGGCCCCAGACCTGTGTGAAGCCCAGCTTGATGCGGCGTTGCTTGAAGGTGCGGGCGAACTGCTCCAGCTCCTCCAGGTCACTGGGCTCCTCGGGGTGGGATGGTGGCTCCAAGCATTTGGGGGGCTGCGGGTGCGAGAGGTGCGGGTCGGGCAGCGTGGGGCGGGTCACGGCCTGGTAAGGTGGGCAGGGGTGGGTGGGGTGCAGGATCGAGGACCAGGATGGGGCTCAGCAATGGCTGCGCAGTCCTCCCTCCCTCCTTCCCTCTCTGCCATCCCACCTCTTCCTGCAGGCTCTCCTCTACCTGTCCCCAGGAGGCTGATGCACACTCATTGTCAATCCCCATCAAGGGGACACTCTGCTGCTCCATAGAGACCTCTCACTGCCCCCAACTCTCTCTCTGCACATTCCCTCCCAGCCTGCAAACTCCCAGGAGTAGCCAGCTCCTTTCAACCATGGCTTTTTCCCTGGAGCTGGGGGCCATGGTTTTATCCTTCTCTCAGGCAGGGAATTAATGACTGGCTCTGCTACCGAATTGTTGGGTAACTCAGGCAAGTTTCTTAATCCCCCTGGGCCTCAGTTTTCCCCTCTGCAGAATGGAAACAATCATGGTTGCTCCGCCCACCCCATGGGGTTGATGGGAGAATCCCGTGAAAGGTTGCAGATAAAGTGAAAGCATTTTTAAAAGTAGAGGAGGAGGGTGCCTGGGGGATTTACAAAGAAGCAACAGGTCTCTCTGAATTGCTTTATTTCCCTAAAAATATCTGAAACAGGTGGTGAGTGCAACCATGTTGGTCACATAAGTCCTTGATCCATTTTCCAAATGCTGGGGCCAGATGGGTTTTGGAATTCAGAAATTTTACAGATTTTAGAAAGCCTACACAGGTCACAAATAATGTGACTCCCCCCATCAGGGTCGAGGCATCACCCCATCACTGAACACATTAACAGCTCTCAGCAAAGCACAAATATCACATGGGAGGGAGAAAGGAAAGTCATACTCCTAGCCTTAGGTCAAGACAGGTTTTGCAGCCACATGACTTCTGGTCTCACATTACAAAAACAACTTGGTTTTCCAAGCATTTTGGATTTCAGAATTCAGCTCAGCCCTGTATTAGTCTCTAAACTTTTTGGGTTAAATAGTTCATATTTTTTGAAAGGGCTGTTAAAAAAAAGTGGGTAGGAAGGAACGTCAAAATCCATAAAGAATCATGTAAGATTATTATTGAAGTCTAGAACCCAGTCAGCAAACTGAAAGAAAGGCCAGGCCACAACCTATAGGTTTTTTGCACGTCTGCATTTTGGGGTAGTGGGGGTCAGATCAAAATCTTTCGTCAAATTCTCAAAGGAGTCCATGTGTCTGAAAGGGTTAAGAGCCCCTGGCCTGGCTGATTCCCCTCCTTCTATAGAGGAAGAAGCTGACCCAGACAGGGAGAGTGGCTTGTCTAAGGTCCCATAGCAAATCAGTGGCAGAGCAGGGCTGGTCCCCAGGTCTCCCAACTCCTATTCTGGCCCCTATGGTCATGGGGAGGGTTGAAGGGAGCAGAGACCCTCACCCTCCCACCCCCCCTTCACCCAGCCTGGCATATCGGTGGACATTCTTACCTGTGGGGGCAGCCCGGCTCGGGGCTGGGAGGTCAGAAGAGCTCCCTGGGTTTGCTGAGGTAGCTGGAAGAGATTTGGCGTCGGTAGCAGGCCTGGGGAGACAAGGGGATTGCACAGGGTGAGGGAGGACGGAGAGTTCTGTGGAAGCATCCTCGGGGAGGGGAGGCCATGGGGTGGGTGGGGCCTTACCTGGCTGACTCTGCTGGGCCTGTGGCAGCAGGAACTGAGCAGGTGGCTGGAGGTGGTGGCCTGGCACAAGCACCAGCTGCTGAAGCTGGAGGAGCTGCTGTATGTCCTGGCAGGGAGGGGGATGGACAGAAAGCCTGAGTCCTGGCCCAGCTCCCTCTGCACCGTGTGAGCCCTGAGGGGTTCCACAGAGTGGGCGGGGAGGGATGGAGCACGGTCTGTGAATGGCTTCCCTTAGGTAAGGGCCCACAGGAGGCTTCTCCCAACCCCAGGCTACCAGAGCATCCTATCTGGGCTGACCCAGGAGGGCTCGCTCTTGATTTACCTTCTCTTTCTTGAAGAAATATTTGCCTTGTCTTACACTGAACCACAGAACAAATAGTATCGTTTAAAAATGTAAATCAGACCAAGTCTTCCCTTCTCTTAAAACACTTGAGGCAAACGATACCATGTCTGGAATTAGCTTTAAAATACTCCAGCACAGCAAAATAAAATAAAATAAAATAAAATAAAATAAAATAAAATAAAATAAAATA